CTTTCACAGAACCAGACTATCTCGGCTATTGATGCGTACACGTCATCGAATAAATTTCCGCATTTTAGATGATGCCAGTTTCGGCAACTCTCATATTCAACCCTCTTTGATCTATATTTTACTTTCCTGCGGCAAAATGTGTTTTTGTCATTCATTGGCTGTATCTTTGTTCCAACCGGTATTCTTGTCTAGGAGCAAAGTCATACGCTTTCAGCCATAGGTTTGCCAGAATTAAAACGAGGGAAGAATCTCGTCTCTTTTGTTCATGGCAATTAAATCTTTGTTAAGTTCTTTCTCAATATTCAGTATAACCTCATCAGTGGTTGCCTCTTCTTTCCAAAAACTGAGCAGATTGGAACAATGATTTCAGCTTTGATTCATTCGTTTCTTTCCTCATCATGCAAAAACCAACGCCAGTATCAAAAGGCACAGCCAGCAACCCATTATCTTTGCAATAATTCCTCGTTTTTTCAACGGCTTTGTCTCTTGGGGTTCGCCTTAGTTTTTTTGCATATGCCTTTGCCGCGTCTTCTCTTTTACATAAAGTTTCACCAGATGTTTTTTTGGTTTTTCAATTGTGAGAGGAAAATGTCGATAACAACCAAAAAGTGTGTTTCGGTTAACTTGTCTCTAACGGGATGCTTCGGGCCCATAGACAGCACTTCATGTACCAATCCAGGTAGTTCAATGTTATCAAGCACCCTAACTGATGTCTCAATGCTGCCCCCAAGAGGTTTATCTTGTCTCTCGGACAATTTTTCTATTTTTTAATGGTTTTCTGATGTTGTCTTTAAGCTTGCCTCAACTTGACGCCTCACGAAGCGGAAAATGGATGCCCACCGCTGTTCACCGATTTTTTTTGCACCAGAGATCGGGCTTTCACTAGCTTCTCCTCATACCTTTTCCTGTCCTCATTTCGCCTAGAAACTTTAGTCCTTGTAGATAGTTTTAGTTGAAAATTATGCACAGCTTGGTCCGAAAAATACCCGTTTTCGGGACCCTAAACTTCAAAAAATCCGATCTTAGATCGTTTTTCAGACATTTTCACTGAAACTTCAGTCTATATACAGATACAGTCTATGCACAAAAACATCAGTCTTGTTGACCCGATCTCACGAAGACAACTCTGAATTGGCTCAAGTAGAGACGGCTAGAAAGGCTCTTTATCTTGACGCAACCCATCATTTTAGAATTTGACTTTAGGTTCCGTCATTACGTGCTTTCCGAGCGAGTTTTTCATCATGCATATATTCATAGCTTCATGACAACGTAAAGTTATTTTTCCAATTGATTAAATCATTGCTATTCATTATTAAATAATGAAGTATGTGAAAAATTACACAGTGAGGATGGTTGATGTCTCGTTAAAAAATGATTCGGAATCTACGCTACAAAGTATTCAGTAAATGTATAGGTTAATTTCGTTGTGGAATGTCGGGATCCAAAAAGTGACCGAATTCTAGTTTCGAAAGTGGATTTTAATGTTCAAATTTTTCAGCGGAAATTGAAATTTAGCTATTAATCCAGTTCCTCAAATTGGACTAAATTTGTAAATGAAACACCATTCAACAATTGTTCTTGACAAAGTAGACTCCTTAGGGTTACATGTCAGTATTTAGACAACCGCGTATTCAGACTGGTCAGTATTTAGACAAATACTGTTTCAACCAATCAGAATCGAGACAAAGAAGAAATTATTAAATAATTATTATTTATTTCAGATTATTTATGTCTTTTCTCGATTCTGATTGGTTCATACAGTATTTGTCTAAATACTGACGAGTATGAATACGCGGCTGTCTAAATACTGGCTGCACTCCACTCCTTAGCTCCTTGTAGGATTAATGCCGGGTCTGTTTGTAACCCTGGTACGGCTGCTGCTGAAGCGGAAAAAGTATAAAGATCTAGTAGTTGATGGGTATCTTTTTCAACCGCTAGCTTTTGAGATTCAGGGCGCGACCGGCCCCAGCACAGAATTTTTTTGAGCAATCTGTGTAAGAACCTAAGCATATGCACAGAGGAACCCAGAGCAGACAGCTTTTTAAAACAGAGAATCTCCCTGGCAATACAGATTGCGAACGCTGCTTGCGTACTCGGAACAATAAATGACAAAACAACTTTCGACGAATTTTTTTTATTCGTAACACTTGAATATTATATTTTCTCGTGTCGAGTTGGGTGTTCTTATTGAAGAAACGTAACCCGTATCGATTTTAATTCTAAGGACATCAACGCTTGTCATCTTCTTTTATCATTATCACTTCCATATCTAGAAAATTCCAAGGATTTTGACTGGAATACGTGATGAAGGTACTACTGACTGTAACCTCGGTTACTATGATACTTTTGATCTTCTGATTACCTTTAATAAAAAAAGAACAAAAGAAAATTTTTCTTGACCTTCAACGAGCCCTAAAAGCATGTTTTTTTTCTGTTTTCTTATTGTTCACGATACTTTCCATCAATAATAAGTATGACCTATAATGAGGAACAGCAGCATCTTTGGACTTTTCGGGTTTCTTTCCGGCTTTCGGGTTTCTTTCCGGTTAATTCCAATCCGGCTTTGTCGCCTCTGCCGGATATTCATCCCCGAAATCAGGGAAGTCAGGTGACTCATTCTTACCCCATTGTGTAGCGCAGCAGAGCAGCGTGAAGATGCCCCTGATCCGAACTGATTAACAGTAAGTGTCCTGTCTTATCAGTTTACACAATCTGTTTCACTTTAACTCGCAGTACTATTTATAAAAATCCACGTCTTTCTTCTTCTTTTAATTGTTGATTTGGCTGAATTGAGCGCAATTGGTATCTCCGACTGGTTCAAATTGATCGCTTCTCCTGCATATTTATCGGCTTGTCTGTACGTCTAGCTGTCTCCAAATCTGGATTCCAGCGGTTGTCTCTTGACAAGCAAATCCCCTCTTGAGGGAATTAACTGAAGAAAGTGAGTCAGTACAAAGAAGTTTTGATTTCCCTTGATCATCATCCAACTCAGTGCAGTACTCGAAAGCAGTGTTCATGGATGCCATCTCAGCTTAAAAACTGGAACAGAATATCCCAGCCGGTGCTTGAATAATGGCACTCCACAACAATGTCACAACTGTCTCCTTCTAAGAAAAAGATGCATAAAAATAGTAGTTTATTACAAAACCCCGCGACACATGACAATCTTAAACACATGACAATTAAGCACATTACAATACATTAACAATCTCCCGTGTAATTTAATCAATTGGAAAGCTCCGCAAAGCAGCGATGTGTTATAGTTATAGCCGCTATTGAATGAAGTCAATTGAAGAGTGTTGTATACAGCGAATCAGCGTAGTGCGTGATACGCGACTATCTTTGGTCAGACAATCAGCGACCTGTTGGTTGGTTGATATCCATCTGAGACTTATGGATGTGTCTGAAGTCAAATCTCGCAGATAGACGATCTCAACACGCAGACGACGGTCTGCGATGGCTTTTGTCGAGTACGTCGCATCAACCAGGGATCGGTTGTCAGTATATACATCAATAGGGACAATTTTTCCGACTATTTCGTGTAGCATCTTTTGCATTAAATAAGCAGCGTCTACACCATCCGAGCAAGCCAGTGCTTCGGCTGCGAGTGTACTCCGAACGACGCGTTTTATTTTATGCGAGCGATAAGAAATGAGCGAGCATCTGGCGTTTTTGGTATTCGCCAAGAAAACCAAGTAGCCTCCTTGGGTTGCTCCTCCCGCCAAGTTGTTCAGTGATGCGTCTGTGAAAACAAATATTCTCCAGGACTCAATGTCGTCTCCAAGAGATGTCATGCACGTTCCATAATTGTCGTATTTGAGCTTGCGGACTACTTTGTTCGCTGCCAGGACTTGCTCTACTGTACTGGCTGGCAGTTTGCTGATAAGGAGGCTAACTTCGAACGATATATCCGGTCGTGTGTTAGAAGACACCCAGTTCAGCTTGCCTAGAAGTTTCCTCAGGTCTCTCACGCCTTTTCTAGACAAAAACTATGTTCGAGTCGCATCAGATGGAACATCTATCTCCTCGATAGCTTGGATGTACTTCTGTTGTTGGATAAAAATGCCACGTTCTTTTCTGTCTAGTTGGACGCCTGGGTTGCTGCATGGCAGATCCGACTGCTTTCCAACATCGAAAATCATAATAATTTTGGCTATAACTTCATTTTGAATCCAACAGTGCCTGAATACGCAAAATCGTCTACGTGGACGCACAGAACACCGCTGACGTTATTTTGCGGATCTCGCCAGATGAACAAACAGGAGTCGAACTGAGAAACTTGACATGACAAGGATAATAGTTCTTTGCGAACACGATCGTACCAGAGTCTGGAGGCGTCTGCTAAGCCATACACTGGTTTATGCAACTTCCACAGACACTTTGAGTCGGCTTCTGGAGGTGGTTTAACATATACTTCCCGCTTCAACTCAGATCCCTGCAAAAAGGCAGTGCTTATATCCAAAACTCCAACTGGCCAATTCTTTGATGCAGAGACAGTCAGTACAAGCCGGAACGCTTCCCGGGCACATGTAGGAGAATCTTTCTCGAGGGTTTCCAAATCCATATCTTGAAAACCTTTGGCTACCAAACGTGCTTTCTTGGCACCAGTTGTCTTCTGAGAGTAAACCCAGCGTAAATCAATGAAGTACTGTCCAACATCTTGAACTTCCGTGTAAACTGAGCGTTTAATCCAGTTTTCGAGCTCAATCTGCTTTTCAGCAACAAATTGATCGGGTTGGTGTCCTGCGATTAATTAACTCATGGCACTCATCAAGTTTCTCCCAAGTCACCATGTCTTTTGTGAAATTCATGTTACCGGTCATACCAGCAACATTGTCTGGAGCTGTAAATTCAACATTGAAGCATCCTTTGTACTTCCCAGTTGCTTTTCCAGCGCGACTGATTACTAGACCTTCGTATGACTTCTCTGGGTCACATCTGGGTACGAACTTCAAAAAATCACGCATTTTTGGATAGTCTTCTCTTTCTTGCGTCTGAAACTAATTCTTCATACCGTTTTGAGCGTGATTATCTACTTGTTCAACGCTTTTCTCTGGTGGAATCCGGTCTTCAGCGACATTATATTCTTCTTCATTACTCTTCACTGCAGTTGCTGGGCAAGTTCTGGTGTCTACTTTGGTACTTTCTGAACCAATGACTAACGGAATTTCTGTTCTGTTCTCGGGATGAGCGGCTGTGGTCAGCGTTTCTATACTGTCCGACTGACACTTCCGGACGCGAGTTGGATGGACACTGATCAACTGACCGCCATGTTTAACAACAATCTCGGATCCTAGTCGGTTCACAAGTGTGGCTGGGCCTCTCCATTGGTTTTCAGACCTTTTGTAAAACACTTGATCAGACGGTTGGACTTCTTCGCCGCTACGAACATTTGTTCTCAATGCTCTTTTGATACGGTTAGAGGACTCGCACTCTATATAGGCTTGTCGAGACTTGTTGAGCAGGTTCAGATGTTCACGTGCGTACTCTGAGGTCGTCACGCATTCTAGAGCTGGATCTCTATCCTCAATTACATTCGGCAAGTTTGGGGAGGACCCGAAAACCAGCTGAAAAGGAGTGAAACTTGACGCGTTAGACAGACAATTCTTGGCATGTACGGCAAATTGGAGACATAAATTATCGTCTGTGCTCTCACCAGATGATCTTGTTTTCCAGAAAGCTTCAGTAACAATCGCATTAAGCCTCTCAACAACCCCGTTAGACCAAGGGCTGTACGATGCACTCGAAATAACCCAGATGTTATAGCACTCAGTCATAGACAGAAACCTCTCGTTGTTGAATTCACCTCCTCGATCACTCATAAATGTTTCTGGTAGCCCAAATACGACGCACCAATTTCTCAAAACCGCACTTATGATGGTCTCAGGATTTTTGTTGTGAACTATACAGGCAACGCTGAAACGCGTAAAAAGATCTATAAGATGAAAATAATGCGTATTAGGCCCGAGCTCGCTCAATTTGTGCAAATCCATAGAAACCACCTGGTTGAACTTCACTGTAAGAGGCAAGGAATCCGAAGGTTTTGGTTTAGCACGGCCAAACTTCTTGCAAGTTTCGCATTCATCAACTGCACTTTCCACATCAGACTGCAAAGTTGCGCTTTTGTAGCCACTCTGCTTGAGTAGTTGCTCGAGCCGTTTTGCGGAGCAATGTCCGAACTGGCGGTGCATTTTCTTAAAATCTGACTGCTCAAACTCTGCCAAACAAACATCTTCATAACCGGGATGTATGTTCAGAAGAAGATGGCCGGTTGACGTCCTCTTGAGGTCTAGTTTTTTGTCAGATTCTTGTATAGCAACAAACTTGCCATCAAAATTGAGCACGAACTTGGCAGATTTCATCGATTTGACACTCAGCAGTAAAGGCAACTCAACGTCAATGACATCACAACTCAAAAAACAAGAAAGTGAGTCAAATTTATCTGGCAAAAAGGCTTTGTATTTAGCGTTTTGACATGCTCCATCTCCAAAAACAATGCGACAACCAGTCTTTTTGTACACAACAGTGTCTGATTGCGTCTTCGAAAGTTTAGATACGTACTGTTTGACCCACTGATCTCCCGCGACTGTTGTTGTACAGCTAGAGTCCAGAATTGCTGACTCATAGCATTCTCTCAGCAACCTCCCGCAACGTGAGATATACTTGCGTGTCTGTACCTGAGTCGCAGCTTGAAGGAACGGTACTGGAGGCTATTGCGGGCATTGAAGCAACACTCTTTTCGGAATCTCTGTCCGGGCAGTTTCTGAACCAGTGATTTCTGGAACCACACTCTGTGCAGGTGGTAACTCTACCTTCTTTGTCAACAGGATTTCTACCTTTTTTCTGTACGCCTCTCAAAAAACTGTAACTGGCCTGTCCTCGACCTCGAAAACGACCGCGTCTCTGAAAACGATCAGATATCAACGCAGATTCTTCGTTTAGCTCTTCGTTCGCCACGAAAGCTGGTTCGTCTTGTAGCTGCACTCCCGAGGTGGAGGAGGAACTTACTGAGAAAATTCGTCGCAGTGACTTTTTCATAGTGTCAAAATTCAGCTCATTCGACGCGGAGAGAACCAGTTGGCGTTCATTGGAGGTTAAATTACAGGAATGGAGCAACTTGCACGCTAAAATAGAATCTGGTAATTCCATTTTGAACCGCTTCATTTTCGTGTATGCTCTCTCAAAATCGGCGATATGCTCAATAACGCTAACAGAGTACATAAGCAGTGTACATCTCGTAAGATTGGTCAACTGTTCTTTGCCAAATATACTGTCCAGTTTTTCCAATAAATCTTTCAAACCGTTCTCACTCTCTAGGGTTTCACCGCCCACTTCCATAGCAACTTCGCGACGTCTGCCACTGAGGGATAGTGCCACAGCCAAACCCAACTTCTTAGCAGGTAGATCTGTTAGACGCTTCCAAATGTCAACCTCGTTTTTCCAAGCGTCATAAGGCATATCTGTTTCCCATGTCGGCGGGGTTTTGACGAAAGAGCTCATTTTCTCCTGCTACCATAAGAAAAAGATGGATAAAAATAGTCGTTTATTACAAAACCCCGCGACACATGACAATCTTAAACACATGACAATTAAGCACATTACAATACATTAACACTTCCGTGCAGTTCACAGAATCATCAACCCAGATGCTGATGTCAAAGTCGTCGAGTGAGTGTAACACGTACATCGCTTCTGCTTTTCAGTCTCGTCCGACAGACCCTTCGAATACTCTGCCGTGGCGTCATTAACAAAAAAACTCCAACGGGGCTCTAACCATGGTTCTGGTCTGTCAAGGAGTTCTCTGGGAAAGTCATCAAAGATATTCCCAAGTTCCTGTTCCGTCGCAATTCTTTTCCAGGAGCCTCGAAACCCTCTTGCAGTATCTGGAGCTGCGTTCAACTCTGAACCATTCCTCACAGAAAACTCGCGCACTTCAATTCTCTTTTTCTAGGGGGGTGGTACTGGTGGCTGATAAAACGGGGGCAGTAATAGACATTACGTTGAGGCAGGCGCCTGAGTTTTGCTCTCGTGAGGCCACTACATCTCTGGTTTATAAACATTCCACAACACGTGCACTACAACGAGTAACAATTTAATCCAACTTCTGCACTAAAAATCCACAAGGCCATCTCGCTGCGGAAACGATTGGTGCTATGTTCACGGAGTTGTTTCGTTCTCAAATTCTTTCCCTAACTTCTCCACTGCAGCAGCGGAGGATTGAACTTATTGAGTTATGTACGTGTTACTGTACTCATAGAGTAATTTCAGATAAGGTACACCGTCTCTTCGTCACGCTATCTTATTTTCGGCCGGATAGATTCGTGCAACGTCTTAGTCTAATACCAATCTTAATCTTACTCTTATATCTCCTAGTCTCAATAGATCTAGTGTATACTGGTATTTACGAGTTAGTTCTTGGAGTTTATCCAGAAGGAGAACAACTGTAGTCTGAGATTTATTCAAATAGGTCTGGTGCTGAAACTACAAGTAGTTTCAGCACTTTACTAATAAGTGTCAACGTTAGTGATGGAATATGATTGGTTAGTAGTAATATTTTATAGAGATTATTTTATCAATAATGTAATTGGTTTTTAAATACTAGTTTAGAACTGGTTCCACCCTTCCGGGGTTTGGAGAGTCCTTAGTTTTTAATTGTTTATTGTAGTGAAGGACGGGTGAAGTAGTTTCCTTTTTGAAGTTTATGCAGTGACTTTTTGAAGATATAAGAGATGTAGTTCTTCTAGAGAGAAGACGGTTGTTCATTCGGGTTCCAATTGTGGGTCTCGTTTGATCGTGGTTTGACTTGGGTGATTGTGTCAAGACTTCAGATCGATGCAATGATGTGTTGATTTCGTTAAGCTTAGAGCGAGACTACGTGCAAGATGAAAATTGACTTTTCCGTGTGAAGTACCAACTGACTAGGATCGGTATGTGAGGTCAACATCGAGTTGGCTATTGTTCTGTTTCATTGGTTTTCCTTTGCTGTGATGTTGGGTCCATACTTAAAATCCTTTGAGGGTAGTGACTAGGGCAACAAACCTAATAGATTTGCCATTCCAGAATTGGAATGTAATCGAGTTGTCATCTTCCTCTGCTGCTCGTTCCGTTGGCTCTAAGAAGTCTTTTACATCAAATTGCATTTATATGTTTACATCTTGTTAGTGAAGTCAGTTTTAATTATGATTTGTTATCAGTTATTTTCGCAAAAGCGTTTTTATTTTAGTTCAGTTATTTCAAAGAGTCACTCACACTAGAGCAACTATAATCTAAAATAGAGTGTGTGTCACAAAGCGTGGTTGTAGCACGGTGGGTTAGGCCGGCTATAGAGCATACTCAGGGCGTCCCTTTTTATCGGGCGTTTTTGTCTTTTTGTTTTGGTTGTGTCCCTTTCTCATATATTGGTATAAAGATTTATTTGGTTCTCTACGTTTTTGTGGTTTGTTTTGATTATCCTGTTGTTTTTGTCTGCATTCATCAATGCTATGTCCATATTTGCACCATTTTAGTAATTGCACCATTTTTGAATGATGGTTTACCTTTGAAATTTGGGTTTTTCTTGTAGATATTTAATATTTGAGTGATTTTTTCTGCTAATCATTATAAGAGTCATGAATGTTATTTATTTGTGAAGTTGTTGTCTGAATGTTGTTTACATTTTGTAGTTTTAGATTTTCTGTTTCTTCTAATTTCATAGTGATTTCAGCTTGTTCTAGTTTATCTACTAATTTTCGAAAATTTATATCGGGTTCTCGAATTGAAGATGGATGTGATGCTCTTTTTTATTGCAATTTTACGTAGTTGTAGTGTTAGAGTCATCATTAAAACTTCTGTCATTTTCATGTTTTTGTAATCATGCGTATTGAGAGAATATGCTTTTCGTACTAATGTTTCAATTCCATCTGCGAGTTGTTTGATTGTTTCGTTGGGGAATCTACGAGTTTCATTGCTTAAGACTCTTTGATGTTGTTTATTTTTTTTCAGAGTTGAACATTTTTGAAAATTTTTGTGCGAATCTTTTCCAGTCTGATTTAATATCTATAGGTAAAACTGAAAACTATTTTTGGGCTGCGCCATCAATTGTGGCTTGGATTAGAGCGGTACGTCTATGTATCCAATTTTGATAGAGTGGTGTTTTTATTGGTTCAGGTCCTATATTTGAAATCAAATGAGCTGTGACTGCATTAAATAGTGTTGACTGAGTGATCAGGGTCTGTTCCTGTGAATAGCATTAATAGATTATTTGAAGATATAGATGATCCACCCTTAAGGTTTGGATTCATAGTCATTTACAGTGACTCTGCGGTATTTGGTATTTGAGAAAAATTTGTCAGTTGTCTTTGTGATTTCATGTTGTTGTAGATAATATTGTAAAGGAATTTCATTTTGCGTTTGATTTGGTTGGTTGTTTTCTGTAGTCATAGGATTTTGTGATTGAAAATTATTTTTGTGTGATGATGAATATTATTTTGGAGGAAGAGGTTGTCTTGATTGTCGTGTTTGTTCACTTCTTGTATAAGGCTCAAAAATATCTGGTTGATAAATAGGATCTGGTTGATCAAACTTCCAATTGTTGTCTGGTGGATTATTAAAAAAACGTTGTTGGTTTTGGTTAAAATAGTCTTCATCTTCTAAATAGTGTTGTTGATTTCTCGTGAATTGCTTATTGGTTATATTTTTATTTTGTTGAAAAATGTAAATTTTTTCGCTACGGTCTGTTGTAGGTCGTTGTTGATCATTAAAGAAAACTGAGTGAGGGGCGTGTTGTGGTATCTGTTGATTGTGGGATTGTTTTTGTGGCTGATTTTGTTCGTTGCTATAGGAGGGTTTTGTTATTTGTTTTTTTTTGTAGAAAAAAATCGTAATTATGATCTGAAAACTTATTTCTATTCGAAGGTTTTCGTTTATTTTGTTTGTCGTGGTTTCGTTATTGTACTATGGTTTGGTAGTCCATTTGTGAATTTTTTGGAACTACAGATCGTTTTACTGTTGATTGGATAGTTGTCTGTGGAAATGGAGTGTTTTTATTATGTGGCGTAGTGAGTGTACGATGGATGGGAGAAATACTTTGTTGCGTTGTTGTAGGCATTGTTTCAACAGTTTTCTTCGTTGATAAAGTGTGATGGGGTTTAAATATCCTGTTGTGTGAGATTTCTTGTTCCGTTAAGGTTTTCTTGTGTGTTAATGAATATGG